TTATTTTCGCTACAGTCTCTTTAAATGATTACAACTTAATATGCGACCTTAAACCTACTTCAGTTTCAGAAATAGTAAATTGAGCCAATTGCAAACAAGCCGTGCTCATGATACTTCAGCAATAATGGTGTCTGCCTATAGGTTTGAAAGGATAATAACATGGATACTGTTGGGATTTTCAGAAGCTCGAATCGACAACCGAAACGATTTGCAAAGAGAGGTAAGAACGGTTTTGTGTTTAGGGAGTAAGGAGATTGAAAGATAGAGAATTGCACAGCGATTTATAGTGGTTCGACTTTCTCAATCAAAGTCTACGTCCACTACCTTAACTCCTCACCAAGGATTTTCTAACAAATTCACTAATTTGTTCTTTCTTTTGAGGACAAAGAGTAACCTTACAAACTCCCTAGTTTTTCCGGGTTAAACTAAAACATTTCCCTAGCTTTTACATGGGATTAGCTAGAACCTTTCTCCTTTACAAAATGATAAAAGAAGTAAACAAATAAACCTCTCAAAGGTAGTTGTTTACAAGATTGAGCACACAAGAACAAAATATTTACAAGAGAAAGATGAAATAAGAATAAAAAACTCTTCTCTTGTGTTTGATTGCTTGAATAGTTGTTCTCTTGCTTCTTCAAGTGTCCTTAGCTTATATTTATAACTTGGAATGTGTTTGATGTTGTATATAGCCAATGAGGATGTTTTGAAACCGTTTGGAGATGATTTTTCTACTCAAAAAGACTGCCCATAACATGGTGCATCGGTGCATTATCATGGTGCATCGATACCCCTCCATTAAATTCAAATAAACTAGCCGTTGCAGCCTTCGTGCATGGATGCACAGCAGGATGCATCGATGCACAGAAGAATGCATCGATGCACTAATTGCATTCGGTGTTTGAGTGCATGGATGCATTGCATGGTGCATCGATGCACTAGTGCAGGTGCATGGATGCACTGCAGGGATGCATGGATGCACTGCAGGGGTGCATGGATGCACTTTGACACCCTTTAACATTTTGGCTCAAATCCGAATTTAATAGAATTTGAATTATTTTTTAAACCTTTTAAAACATTGAATAAATTCAATTAAGTCCAAAAACATTTTGTAAATTCAATTCTAGTCCAAAAACCATTTTACCTTAAATTGTTATATCAAAACATAGTTCAACACATACCGTTTCAACGGCATGCTCAAACAGCTCCCTTGCTCGTTCCAATTTCGACTTCTCATATCTCTTTACAAATTTCGACAAATAAGTGACCCATATGTCCTTCACATGTGGATACTTGAATATCTTGACACCTCTTTCATACACTTTGAAAGCATCTTCAAAATATTTGTTCTCCTGCAACAATTTGGAACTTTTGTTAGTCCACAGAACATTTCGAGGGTGTTTGGTACGGGATGGTCATCCCAAAATCCAAGGTGATCTGCATTCAGTAATTCTATCACCTTTATTAACAACTTAGGAATCTTAAGTGGTAGTTATTTTAAATCATTAGGGTAATCTTAAACTTTTCGAAAGGTTAGTTTGAATATCTTGTACTCGGTGCTCTTTTCTCCTTGTGATATTTAGCATTGTGATCATTATCACTAGTGATTTATAATGTTATAACAAACATGAGACTATAATGTTACAGAAGTATGGAAATATTTTGACATGAAAATGCTTTTACCTCTAATAAAAATGCATAGTTTATAATAATTTGTGGCGTCGCAATTCTTAAATCCAGTATTCTCTAATAGACTGCTCAAGTTGACTCCAGAGTACCCAAACTTTCTTCCAAGTCTACATAGAATGTCCACATCCTCAAGGATTTATGTAGCTTCATCTGAACAGGTTCATTCCCATCAGCAGCCACTGCAAACAACAAAATAGACCAAAGAATAAAATTTATAAGGGATTATAGATTATACCATTCTCTTTTAAAATAATAGAAAAAGAAAAAAAGTGTTTTAAGACTTGAGAAAGGAAATGATATGAAGCAATGCAAAGGAATGTAACTGTAATATTCAAATTCGAGGTCATTTGCTCAAGCAACATAAACAGGGATTACCTCTTCGTTTGACCTCGACAGAAGGCTCAGCTGTGGCTCGTCTCATCAGCTCCAGCGCACCTTTGAAGTTTTTATGCCTCAGTTCCATCTCTGCCCACTCAGCCCATACACTTGCCAGATGATCAACAGTCTTGTAATTTACTTGGACAACTTTATCAAAAATGACACGAACATTTGCCAGATCTTTATAAGTCTCATATAGCTTCGCGAAAGCCACCCACAGTGTATGGGGATTTCCAACAGCTTTCATTGTGTCAATCGTCCTTACTGCCTCTGTGTAAGTCAATATTTGCTTAGTGGGGTTTCCCTCAAATAACTTGACCCTACGATGCCATTGCTCCACATTATGTGGATTCTGGCGTAAAAGGACACTATTAGCCAATTCAGGCCTTCTATTCATTAAATGCTCTTACCGAGCCAACCTCAAATCAACATCCTTATCATCGTGTAACCAAAACCCCTTAAATATCTTCTTCTCAAACTTCGATTTTGATTTGCATAGAGCAATGTCCAAACGGGTGTCCTCTTCATCCTCTTCAACATCTTCTTCTTCCTCATCACTCAGTTCCATGTTCTCCATTTTAAGAGCCACCATACTCTCTTCAAATTGTGAATAAGCATCAAATATGACACTGAAATCCCTAACAGTAACCACAGTTGTCATTCCCTCCTCAAATATATCCCTAGCCTTCTCGAACAGATTTCTTCTGATGTAATAATCAGCAAGGGAAGTCCAAAGTCTCCCAACTTCATCTGTAAACTTTCTAATTCCACCTCTGATTATTGCATCCACATTGAGCCCTGAAACCTCTGTTGCGTGTGTTGTGAGCAAGTCACACAACTCTAACCACAACCGATGCTTAGTTTTACGCTTTATTGAATAGAACTGATCATCATTCAAAACAGACGCTAACCTCTCTGCTGCTTCTTGCCACAGACTTGAATTCACCAAAAACTCAATAAAATCCTCAATATGACTAGGATCGTACTTCAAATATCTCCTATAAACCCTAAGCGATGTCTCAATCGGGATTCCCCTTTGACTCACAAAAACCAGATAAGGTTCCCAAATCCTATCATGTTGAGTCACAGGCAACGCACAAAGTTCTGTATCGAAAGTCCTTCGTGCCTTACTAATCAACTTCTGCTCAGTTAGCGTCAACAAGTACATTATCCAAATCCTAGGCATTTTATGCATTGTAACAAGCGCCCTCTCAAAAGCATTATTGAGGGTGAGTAACAGGTAAATTCCGAACGATTTCGAGGCGTTCGCGTAAATAAGCATGCCAAAGCTTGTAACTACCGGGCAAAGCTCTCAAAGCTCGCTCGTATACTACAACTCTTTTCTTGAAAGGGGCGTCCGATCTTGCTATTAGATACCTCCACCAGAGCTTCAAACTAAAGGGGTTCCTTAACAGTTCCTCCTCGTAAAGGAGGTCATCTTCAGATGGGTATAGTTCCTTTGACAGCGACATTGAAAAAAAATATCCAGAAAATAAACAAAACCCAGAAATAGAAGAATATTATTTAACCTAAACCTGGGGGGAAAACTGCTCGACTGACCGGAGTGAAGAGCTCTGCAAATGTCTCTAAAACTGAGAGAAACCCTTTGGTGATTGATAAGAAACAAGACTTTAGGGGGGGGGGGATCCCGATCCTGGAGTATGAGAAAAAAAAAAGGGGGGTAATTGGAATTGGATGGGTATGGCGCCCAAAAGACGAGGGGAAGGGTTGTTTGCAGTTTATGAGTTTCTATGGCAACAAACGGGTTTTGTTTAACCCGCTTATAGATATGACGAAAGGGCCATAAAATATGCTTCATTGGACTATGTGAACGAAACATTCAAGCCCTATGTGAATTTGAATGGGCCTTTGGATCTACATGGACAATGTGCAATGAACTTACTTACAGTTCTATCGGTCAACTTGATCTTTATATATTGATAAAAAAAAAGCTTGATCTTCACCATACATGACAAAACATAATAATAATTTTCATGAATATTTAAATTGTATAATTATATACCCAATGAAAAATAAAGAAGATACACTGATTGAGAAAATTTAGAATTTTAATATAACAATATTAAACTTTAAATCAAAAACAATTTTTAACACATAATAACGTAAAATTATAGAAAAACATAAAATTTTATGTTAGAAATATGAAGTTATAAAAGTATAAGAAATCAAAAATATATTATTAATAAAAAATATTTAAAAAACTTAAATTATGTGATAATGTTAAATTTTAAGAGAAAAATCCATTCCATCCCTTTTTTCCTTCGATTGATATTTACGTAAAATCAAAATTAATGTATTACACATAATATGTGCACACTGAAAATTATAAAATTATTTCCATATATCTGCATATATGCATCAATATAGGGCAACCTTCCTATATGATTATTGGCTAGAGATTCATTAATGAATGAGTTACGGACTTGGGGAAGAAAAGAGAAAAGAAAAGGGCAAAGGCTACATAGTTATGACTTATAAGCGTGGGTGGAGCGTTGAGACCTATACAATAATAATAATTCAAGGATTGGATTTGGATGGGAGCGAGCCAGCGTTTTTAACTTTTCAGGCCATCCAACTGCTACACGTAGATGCCGTAAGCACCTAATAATATATTTCAATCCACACGCAACCCCTCCTCCGTTTTCTCTCTCTCTCTGCTGCAACTGCAAACAATACAAACACCCGTTGCACGGCATTCAAAGCCGCGTTTCGCCTTCTTTATTTGTGAGTCGTTTCCACTTACACCCCCACACCATTATCGTATTCTTTTATATTTGTTATCTTTATCATATAAAAAAATAAGGTGACTTTTTGTTCTACTTAAATTTTGCATTGTGAACGTTGAAGGCTTTACTCATTTGGGATGAACTAAGGTAAGATGTTTTCTTGGGTGCCTTTCAGTTTTCGTGTTTGTGTTTGATCATCACTTGATCATTTCTTTAGCGGTATTGGCTTCCGGTTTGGTTTGCTAGGGAACCAGGTAGAAGTAAAGAACAGTGTAAAAAAGTTTGATGATGAAGATTTTGTATAGATAAAGCTCATTTTTTAACTCTCTGGGTATCTTCCGTTTTCTTTAATGACCTGAAAATTGGCTGGAGTTATGCTGCAAAGTATGCCTTTTTTTTCAATTAATGATGAATGGATAGTAATCTGATTATTCTCTCTCTTTCCCTTTTGTTTTGTTGATTCAATTGTTTTGCAGTGAATAAAGTTCAGTTCTCTTTGCGCGTGTCCTGTTTACTTCTCCAATCCTCCATGCTGAACCCCCCCCCCCATTTTATTTGATTCCAAGTTGACCTATTTATTCAATAATGTACCAAATCTTTACCTAAATGGACGTTAAGCTGTGGCACGATAAATGCGAGAGGGAAATGTATGTATTTTTCATGGAGCTATATGCCACTCCCGAAGTAACAGAGGAGCTTGAGAAAGCTTATGTGAGGGATGCTATTTTCTCATCATCTGAATACGCAACTGAGTGCCTAAAGCTTATCGCCCATTTTGAAACCTCAGCTTCTACGCTCAAAGGCACTATCCCTAGCATTCATTGCTTTGCATATACATCTAAAATGGACTGCCCATGTGCTATAAATCATCTGGTCACCTATGGGGTGGTCGTCATTGTAGATTCTCGAGCTTCTGCCGCTTCATCTGCTTTTACCTCTACTCCAGTTCTGCTACCTGATTTCTAAGGGAAGAAAAAGATGACGCCGACTGGGTTCATGGTTGTCGAAGATGGAGGCAATAGAAGAGCTTGGCAGCTCCTTGACTTGAAATCTTCATATAATTCATCCATGTTAGCTTTGCCTATTCCTGGTACTTGGAAGCGATCCAATACACAGTTTTTTTTTCTTTTGGTTTAGCTCTATGCTCACTGATAATTCCCAGTGATATCGTAATGGATTATTAAGCTGATAACAGCGTATACATCTTGGCAATGATCTGATTTTTAAGTTAAAGATGCTATTTTTCTGCCGATTACGGAGAAAATTTTATGGCCTCGTGAGAATGAGATAGTGTTTTAATTTTGTTTTGTTATAATGGCTGGAAATTCTTCAATCAAAGTCAATGTAGTTTATCTTGTTCTAATATAAGATGTTTCGTACTTATAGGTAATGTAATGGATAGATACTGTCATGGATTAGCCTTTGCAGGGTTCTTGACAGTTTCAAAAGTCGAACTTGCATTCCTATCAACAAAAAAAGTCGAACTTGCATGATTCAGTTCACCAGCTAAAGGAAATCGGCCGCCATAAATTTCCATTTCACCTGATTAAAGCATTCCTCCGCCATCAAGCCCTTCCCAAGCATGAAACATGGTAGGCCAGGCAAGCTACAAAACAACATAAAATCATCGTGTAATGCAATACAATTCAATTCTTCTGCAGGCACTTGATTCACAATCTCAATTCTTCTTGATCTGCAGGTAAGCTCCTGAAATGAACTACCTTAACATCGACCTCACTGTAGAGAGGATTTTAGTTTCTTAGACCCCTCTTCTTTTATCTACAGCCTGTAGCGATGCACAAATGTGTGGAACAAAAACTGTATCGCCATTGACATAACAGTTCATTCCCTGCTAATGGTCCATGTAACATAATGCATTGATCTAACCGGTGGCTGATGTGGGTGAAGAAGTTTTAATAGAGAAAACTGATGAAGGTTCCCCGTCAACATCTAGATTGACACTGCTTCTAATTTTTTCTACTCCTGGGCCCCCACCAGGTGCTGTCTGAGTAACTTCTAAATTACTATTACCACCAGAGGTCAACATGCTTTGCTCTCTAAGGTATATGTCGGTGGCATCTTGAAGCAATTTCATCATGCTGCCAGAATCAGAACCAGGTGAAAGCTCTTCTTCTCGCTCTGGTTTGATATTCAAGTCAATTTGGCCTTTAAAAGGTGAACATGAGGATTTTACTCTGTTAGGATCATCTTCTGAACCCTCAGTGGCAACCTTCTTTGGCTTTGGGCTGCTATTTTCTGCATTTGTGCAAGAGGGAGGGTCACCATCCACTACTTTATCAGGCAATAATGTTTGTTGCTTCATGCCTGTGGTTTCAGCTTCCTTTTGTGACTGTTTCTTCTCACGCCGCTGCATGAGGGTGCGGAATCGTCTCTTCACTGTTTCGCAAACATTACAAGTACATGTCTGCTTGTGTTTGGGGCCTTTCCCACTTGGGGGTTGAATGCATACGATACATGTGCAGCCAGGTCTATGCCGAGGGTGCTTCGTGGTGGCCTGAGATGAAGCAGGGAGAAAATCACCCTCTCCCAAGATAGCTAGGTTGGCAAGGGTGTCTAGCCCCTCTAAAGCATATACGTTTTCTGGTTCCTGTTTAGCGACCTTCATTTTCTTAGAAGCAGCTGTCAATCACAATAACCAATTTTCTAATTTCATAATGGTAATAAATTACAAAAATCATCAAGGAATCAAATTCATGTATAATTTTACTCCAAGTGAGTCACACAAAACATAAAGTGTAGTTTTCTTCAGTCAACAAATACCTGAATTACATTGTGGCAGCAGATTTTCCAGCTGTTCGGCAGTCAATTCTTGAGTGGCTGAACAAGAAGATCTGCCAACATGGTAGATAAAGAAAGAATTGGTGTAATGTCCACACAAACAACTTTTTGAGCTTTTCACCCACCAAGTGTTTTTTTCCCTTAAATTATCTTTTGACTTGATTGGTCAAATCTGTGCTTACCTTTCTGGATCCCATGAGTTACTGGAACAGGTCCACTTGGAAGGAAGAAGAACATTAGAAGGCAATCTACGCCACTTAAAACAATCTTCGCATTGAGCCCATTGAATCTTTTCCCTGGCACAAAAGAAATATTGGTATTTGTTTGGTTTAGGACAGCTGTTGCTTCCTATAAGGTAAGCTAAAAAGGTAAAAAATGACGGGACTTTGATTCATAATGAGCATAGAATATTTGAATAAACCCACCAATGCTTCAACGTTATACGGGAAATACAAAGTAAATAATTATCTAGTATATGCATGAGCATCCAAAGAAAGTTACCCCATATTATCAGTAGCAAATATTGTTGGCTTCCCAAGAATCGGTGCATCCTGTTATTAACAAACACAATAAAATCAAGAAACTATAGAACGATTACAGAAAAGAGAAGGAACGAGAGAATCCCACAGAAAGGATAGAATTTGTGGAAAACATAAATATCAAAATACTACTAATAGGCGGCCTAAAAAGTAATGAACTGATTAATTAATAATCACATCCTAGCAAAAGCAAAATGAACAGTCAGTGATGAAATGGATTACATCTTTGAACGAAAAAAACTTGAAAAGGGCCAGAATGAGAAAGAATGAAATGTTCTTGCATCTAATTATTCTGGTTCTGTGAAAGCATCCATAAACAGATAACAGTACAAAAAGGTTCCAGAGCAATCTTTAAGTTTTCATCAAGGGTGCATCAACAATAGAAATTCTAAGATATGCAAGTAAGAGGAGTTCAATTTGCCAAAAAATGAGTAACAAACACTACAAAAGACAAAATATGCCTTTTAATGCTGCCAGTTACAACCAAGAGTGACTTGAATCACAACAGATGTTAAATGTGGTCATAAAAGAAACAGATTAATAACGATATACCTCATATTCTTCAAACTCAAAACCTTCAATGACTACAACACTCGCCACATGATTAGGAGGGGGGCGCAGAAGCCCTTGAGCTTCTTCCCATGTTAATTTCAGCTCTATAAGATCTTCGTTATCAAATCTAAGACGCTTACTTTTTGAACCCAGCATGCTGCTATTCTTCCTCTTTCTGGAAACTGCCACTTTGGCTCCTAATGCTTCCTTTGCTATGTATCCTGACTTATCAACTTTTGACCATGAGGTGGGGTCTGCCATTTCACCCTGGTTCGTGGATAAAAAGCTAGGTGAAGCTGAGCTATTTTCAAATAATTAATGGTTAAGGATATCACCAGTTTTATGCTTTGAGGCACTGACATCTCCATAAATAGAAACTCCATTGTTATTTTTAGCTTCATTGTCCTGCCAATAAAAACGCACATGAATGAATGTAAATTGCTATTTGAATTTGTTGATCCAACAGAGAGGGGGGGGGGCACTCAAAAGTTAAGTTAAAAACAATTAAAAGCAGGTACAAAGACCAACAATAAGTTTTACCATAATTGAAGGGGAACAAAAGCACTCATATGAACCAGTTCTATTGCATTTAATCTTAGCCCTGGAGCATATAGATGCACAATCAGAATAGATGCAAAACCTGATCAGATGCTGAAGCAGTTGAAGCCTTTCTGAAACCCATGACCAACTTCCCTCCAGGCTCTAACCGACTAAATGTTACTGAAGAAACAGCATAACTATTTGTTTCAAAATAGATGTAAATATCAAATGATAATGCATGATCATAGAAAATAGCCACGGCTGGTAAGAAAGATAAAACAAAAGCACGGGAGTGTGGAACAGAACTGAAATCACTAGAGCAATAGGCTAGACCTGGTCATTATGTATATGAACAGGAAATCCAAGGAGCAACTAAATGAAAACAGAAAGGTTCTGGTGAATAAAAATAACAGAGGAAAGGCAAAGATATGGCAATGAATTAAAGATAGCATATTTTGGGTCTCAGAGCATAAAAAATTGAAATATCTAAATCAATGTATTCCACTGATATCAATTTGTTACCTATGTCACCCGCTTGCACTTGCATGTTCTGTATGCAAGGAGTAACCCCCTCTAAAACATACATTCTGCTATTATTGTTGGGCCAGAAGCGGAACTGAAATATCCATTCCTTTCCTTTTGAATCCTGTACTTTAAGAGGTAAACCTTCTGGCAGAGATATCGAGGGGAAATGGGCCTGGCTCATAACAAGTGTATTTTAATATGTTACAATACTATAGGAAACAATTCATTAGAATCTAAGATTTACTTCACCAAACACACGGCTCGTATTTAACTTCAGCAAAAGAAACATCGAATTAATAACAGTACAAAACTAGATGAAAGTGTTTCCAGTATAAATGTGAGAGCAAAAATGCATGAAGTCAAAACCTGGTATCTTGTGACAATAACAATCTAGATAATTGATGTAAAAAGAAGTTTACTGCCAAGCTTTTTATTAGAAAGCTGTTAACAAAACAAATGCTAATCAAATTAAAAACTTTTAAGCAGATTAGACTAAGAGCAATGACTCACTCACCTCCGCACATTTTTTGGGCAGCACTAGACGTCCAATTCGCCCAGCATCACTAGCACTCAACATTTTCTCAAACAAAGGAGTGATTACAGAATTTGAACTTAAATATGGTTAAGTCTAACTGAAGAACAACGTAATTAAAGAATGGACATGATTAACCCATAGGTATTAATTGTTATGCATACAACAAGCACATTTACACAATAATCCAACTTTGAGATTTTACATTACTGGAGATATTTTATGATAATTGTAACTGTAAGTATGTCTTTCACAAAAGAGCAATTATCAAGAATGCCTTATAGAACCAAAGGATACTCTCCTGTTATTTGCTGCAGGTCTTGGTCAGTAAACCTAGGCCAATAACGAGGAAATAAATTATTTTTTCCACGGACATCTGGTCGAGTCCTCCCATTTCGAATCTGACTTTCGCTTGATGAGTCAATCCCATTTTGAAGAGCACCATGTAATTGCTTGGCAGGTGGAGGTTGAGGGTTTGGTCGCAATTGAGTTCCAGAAACCCCAATTTGACCATTTGCTTCATCTGGAGATGTATAAGGTACAGCTAACCCAAATGATGGATTAGATGACTCCTCCTTCAGAGAAGACTGCTGAGATTTAGTCAAACATGAATTACGCTGCTCCTCAAAATTGATTCCTGGACAAGAAATGGTTCACACAAGGTTCAGCACCCACCAATAAGTTGATTTTACAAAAAAAAATTGCAGAACAAAATGTACGTCCTAGCATGGGAGGTGGCATTCACATGAAACTGGTAATGCAAGAATTAATGTTCTTATTATATGTTCCCTATGATAATATGATTGATAAAATGGAAAGTTTTATAAACCTGAATTTCCTTTCTCCTGTATATCGTGTGTTCCAGGCTTCAGGTTTCCATTCATTAACCTTTCGGAGAAGTCCTCGACATTCTTTTTTTCCAGGGAATGAGTTGATAATCTGTCACAGACATTTAGTCTATCAATGCCCGTGGATAAGTCAACTTCATAGGGCACTCTAGAATGCAACTCAGGCTGAGCAACAGAAGAATTGAACAAACTGGGTGTCTGCCGCCAAGGTACAGGACCTGAACCAGCTAACTGAGTCCAACCTTTTGCAGAATATTCTTTATATTTCTCAGGCACAGATGAATGGAAAAGCAAAGATTGTGACCAGGAAGAACTTGATCCCTGAGATAGAATGTCAAATAACAAGGTTTATAGCATATTACACAGCCAAGAAATGCTATTGACTAGGAAATACAGTTCAAAGACGCAAAACTTAAAGTAAGAGAACATTTGCTAGAAAAAATGTCTTTTGTTCATATATGACCACGAAGCAACTAGGAATGACAGATTACGGCTGTATTTTAAAAAGTACGAACTCCATTCTTAAGTCGAAAAATATTTTCTGGAAGAGACACATCAGAATAGCAGAGCAAAATTATCCAAGCTCACCAAAACAACATTTTTCCTTGCACACGCTATGCACTCTATTCCTCCAGCATCCAACAAAGTAAATGCATGAACTGAAACAATGCATCCGCAATGAACCCGCTGCAGATATATAACGAATGTAAACAAAGGTAAAGTCGCCAAATGAATCTAAAACTACAACTACAACTAGGGAAGATCGAAGAACGTAATTGGAATCGTACACCAAAATATAGCAAATAACGTTTATAATTGTAACCAACTAACCTTCCCACATGACACACAGCACCTCCAACCAGAAGCATTCAAGTGAAAAGTATCACAAAATCTTCCCTCCTCGAAAGCAAAACTAAAACCACAATGAACTTAATTCAGATTATAAAATGTAAAATAAATTAAGCAATCTTAATTCACTTTTAATACTTCACGTTTAAAAAGAAAAAAATCTTGATTAAGTCATATTGAACATCTAAACCGAGTGAACAAATTCCCTAAATTAACCAACGGGATAGCCATAAAAGGACAATAATTATGAAATTGAACTTAATTTCACACTAAAATAAATTGAAATATAGAAAACGAGAAAACGGCTAGAAAAACGAAGTCAAAAGAGTTAAAAAAAAGTGAAACTCACGCGCATCGATCACAAAGCTCAGCCAACTCTCCCGTTCGCAACCGCCAACCTTTCCTTGGTATTTCCGGTTTCAAGTCCTTACAGTCCGAATTGAAGCAAATCTTAGAAGAGCAAGCTGCTCCCGGAGTTGACGTCATCATATTATTACTCTTTTTACTTTCAATATTTCAAAAACCCGCAAACTTAGATTCTACAGTTTCTTAAAAAAACCAAAAAAGGTAAAAAAAATGGTTAGAGGCCGATCTGCACAATCATGATTCATGAGAAACAAAATAGAAAGGACAGTGGTTGAAGAAGGGGATTTTAGAGAGAGGAAGAGTGAAATTTAAGTGAGAGACAGATAAAATTAAAGAATATGAAGATTATAAAATGCATTTTTATATTGTATATAATAGTAACAAATGAATAAACAATCAGACAGAATTTTTTTTTACATAAACAATTTAATCTAATCGAAATTTGATTAAAAACTTTGAAATTTTAAAATTAAACATATATATTCAATTAAAAATTATCCCCTTAGAATAAATTGTGTTTTTAGTTCAAAATATTTACTCATATTTTTTCATTGATGTTCCCCTTTTTATTTGTTTTTTTTTTAATTACAACTCTATGAATGTTGATGCTTATGCTTAAAAGACACGTCGAGTCCGTGGCCTTTTATATCTTGGGCGTCGTCGTGTTTTTTTAATGGCTTTGCTTATTTGTTGTCAATTTCTTTTGGATAAAATTTAATATTTTTTTCATATTTTGTTTTTGGGGCCTTTGACTTGTCCTGGACGTGTAGTTTGTTTTACAAAATTAACCTTTGAAAATACCACGATTTGCACACATATCCAATAGGAATGGACAGTAATGAATATTAGAAGATTATTAACCTGCTTATATTTAAATTTTTACCTCGCATTAAATTCTTTTTAGTAATTTCATAAAATCTTCTCGATTCGAAAAAAATTTAAATTTAAATTGAGTTATAAAATACAACTCGAATAACTTGGATAGTAACTCAAATACTTTAAATTTTTAGTAATTAGTAGATTGATTTTAAAGTTTGAGTCGAGTCTATTGACTCTTATGATATATGTATATTACATATGAAAAAAATATGAATAAATATATAGGTATTGTATATGGTTATAAAAATCATTTAAATTAAAATCAAATAATATCAAAATGTTATAAATATTTATAATTAATTTTACATAGAAACTCAAATTTTCGAATTGATTCGGCTTGAAAAAAATTTTAAATTAAATTCTAGTTATAAAATAAAACTTATTAACTCAAATAACTAAAAAATATTTTAGTCAACTTCGATCGACCCCACATGCAATAATCCTTATATGGCAAGGGGGAATCATGCAAGGCCCGCCGCCACAGCCTTGCATGTTTCACGTAACAAATGCTTCATTTTCTCTAAACTAAAACGCGCTTTCCTGGGCATTCCCTTTTTTAACTTATGTTTTGATTTTATTACTTTTTTTTTTTGTAAAATTGGTCTCAAAATATTAAGTTTTGTACATTTTGTACCTGCAAATTTACAATCGTTATTCATTACCAAAAGATGCACAGGGATAAGGTCAAAGACAAGAAGCCAACTCAGAAATTCGTTTAAGTATTTAACATGATATAAAAAATTATGTTATATTAGTATCAATGATTGTATAACTAAATTTAAATAAAAATATTATTTTTAAATATTAAATAGAGTGGGTTTAGTATAATTTTAATCATGGTCATGGATAGGTAGTCTAATCCAAAAGTTTAGTAACAAAATATAGTTTTTAGATTTACATTAATGTTTCTTATAATTTATGAACCTTCCATTTTTCTAAATACACAAACATATTTAAATATGATATAAGAATATGATTTGAATACAACTTTTTTTAAAAAATCAAATATAATCAAATTTTAAATATATATTTATATTTGATACTTATTTTCGAGTCTAAACTTGACGATGGAATCATAAAAATAATGATATTTTTAGAGAGAAGAAAAAATGATAACATGAAAAATATATTAAACGAACGTAAACAAATGGAGGAGTGAACAAATCACACCGCATATTCCTAAGTGCAGTTCACTGTCCAACCTTCAAACTTTATGTACTCGACAGTGTTAACTTGGACTGATCCCACATGTTTTATAGTAGTTAACGAGTATATTGAGACCGGGGTTTGGTAGTTTTGTGTTTTGTATGTTTCTTCTGCAAGCATGCAAATATGCTTAAATTAAGGTTGAAGATAATTACCTACGTTGATTGAACATTTGTCAATATATGTAATGTTGCAGCGACCATGATCTAATAAGTTAAAATTGATCATCACAATTAATGCTTCGTCCTAAGATTATTCTATTTGGCTTTTGTCTATCCTTAGTTTTAATTTTGAGATTTATTTAGTAAAATTGGAACTTTCTTATTTTCTTATAATGGACATGACTTTTTGGGCATTGATGAAGTCAAATGGTGTTTAAAATATGGAAGGATGGTGTACAAGTCATATACATGAAAGTGAGAAGGGCATAGCTGGTCAAATTCAGAGCGGGAGATATTAGAAAGTCACCGAATGCATGGCAACCCATTTCCAAAGAGGATCAAAATGACGTCAACAAATTTCATTTCTCGAAGTTGCTGAGATTATGATGTTGTTTTGGATTTTCTGCAATAAGATTAAGTAGGTGGCAATGGCCTATATAGATGGAACTATGTACAGTGTGAGAGGGGCTCCTCTCCAATTTATTTTATTCCATTACATATTGTCATTTTCAGTTCTAAAATTAATTAAGCAATATCCCTAAATTTGTTGATTCTATTGTATTTTAGATTTTTTTTATTTTGAAATTAATTGAAATAGTTGTAATAAATATTAATTAGATACATGTTAAACTTAAAGTTAGACAAATTAAATATTATTTTTATGACTTTAATATTATTTAGATTTTTATTATTTTTAAATTTCAGACAAATTAATTTTTTTCTGATTTAAATATTACGTTAAGTCTTTATATTTTTACAATTAGATAATTTAAATAAAAAGAATAAACATTGAACCCATACCTGAAGCCCAAATTCAAAACCCCGGCTCCTTAAACCTCATTTTGCAACCCAGGGAGAAAGGCGAGACTGGAGACGGAGCTGCTTTGTCTGATGCGATGGAAGAAGAATACGAAGAGGAAGCGACGGCGGCACAGTCGAAGCCCCGAGGTCGCCACATAAAGAAAAGAGCCCTAAAAAACAAAGCACTCTCCGTTTCTTTCAACGAGAAGGATCTCAGGTACCATACCACACGTATAACATATTCTTTATTTCCACCATAGATAGAAAATCTACATTATTTTACTTTGCTTTGTATTGATAATCGGTGAATTGACAAGGGATTACGTAACTGGTTTTCACAAGAGGAAGAAGAAGAGAAGAAAAGAAGCCCAGAAGAAGCAAGAGCAGGCTGAACGCCGCAAGCGTATTGAACAGCGCAAGAAGGTTTTCCCTATCTCCTCTGATTTCTTTATATTCTAGAATACGCTGTTTTATTTCGATTCAGATGTCTTAAAACTGCAGCTAATATTGTTAATTTTACTATTTTTTGCCTTAGTGGTTGAATTATTATGGCGGCTGAAGCATTGCTTCTAACTGTTAAAGGAAATAAGTTCATTGATTTTATCCATTGCCCTATACAGGTAGAAACTAATTATCTTAGGCATCACAATTTGAGCTTGACGAACTTTCTATTACATTGGTCATTTCTCTAGAAGCTATTCTGAAAGAATTGACACCATTAATCTGCCGATGAGATTTTAATTAACAAGCGTATCAATTGGCGCAAATATTGTGCTTCCGATCCATTCCGACCTTTGTTTACGCCTGTTTAAAGTTCAAGGAGATTATACTTACGTTGCCCTGAATCTTTATTTTCCCTGAAGTACCCAAGTCCGACACCCTTAGTGCCCAAATATTTGGGCATGGGTGTGTGGCATGATTCTCCAAGTACATAGAAAATCTTTGAAAACATTGAGCACTCCATGTAAAACTCATACCGGTATCTGGCGCTCTCCCTTTTGTCTGAGTAACATAGGAGGATATGCAGGGAATTGGAAGATACCTCTGCGAGTTCATATATATGTTAAAATCCTGGTAGATTCTAGCTTCGAGTGTTTTTGTTTGTTGCACACAGAGGCTACAGGCTACTTAGTTTTATGTTAGTATTTTGCTTTCTCATCTAACTTGAAAATAATTTAAACTTCGTTGGTGAGTGAATTCATCAGAGAAAGTTAGAAAAAGAATTTGCCCTATATGGAGGAGCACTTCCCAGCACAAGCTCAGAACTTGATGGAGTTGATGAGAACAATGAGGATGATGAAGAAGGAGACCCAACTGCGTCGGTTGCTGGTATTTTTCTAATCCTACTATCCTGATGCAAAGCATAAACCTGTTGTTTATCTTATTATGTGGTTGGCTTTTGTTTATTCGTGGAAGCGACAACGAAGCATGATGATGAAAACATGACTGTCACTGTGATTAAGAGCGAGATCTCTCACAAGGAAGAAGAAGAAGACTTTAGCAGTGAAAAGACTCAAACAGCAATGCTGAGATCAGTTGGAGATAAAGTTGATAGAAAACAAGCCTTGCCTGTGAGTAAAAGTAAACCATTCAAGAAAGTTGCAAAGCACAGATCTAAGCCACCAAGTAAAAGAGACAGAAATAAGGGGAAGAAAAGGAACAAGAACAAGCATTGATGATTGATGACTACCTGGAACAAAAGAATTTGTAGTCATGGATTCCAGATGTTATTCACATAGAGAAGTGTAATACAAATTTAACAACCTGAAGGAATCGGCAATCGGCAATCCAACCTCGAAAAGGTGGTGAAATGACCGAAAACGTGTCATGAAGACAAAAAAATGTACCATAAAATAGATAAAAACGTGTTATAAAGACAAAATTATAAATAAATAAATAAATAAATAACATAAATATGCATATAAGAGAATAATGAGAAACAAAAAATACATGCCAACTCCAATTTTTTTTTAGAGGCAATAATGGAATCCATGTACATAGGGTTCTTAAAGCATTAGCAATATAACTAGGCCTCTTCTTAAAATATAGTTCCAATTGAACATTTTAGCCAAATCAAAATATATCTAATAGCGCCAAATTAGGTTCCCATTTCCTTAAAATCAGAAGTTTACGATAAATTTATCATGGTCCATTCTCTATGACCTAATTCCTAGCAGTAACATTAGCAAATAAAAACACATATAAATTGGAGCCTGCGAGACTAATCTTCACCATCGAATTCTTCCCTCACGTCATCTCTACCATCTTTTGTATTGAGCCAAAATTTGGAGGTGAGTCAATAAATTGTCCCACCAATGAATACTGCTATTCAGATATCCCCTCTTCAAACACACCCAAAGGAGGATTCAAAGTCAGAGCCTTTACTAGATTCCGGAGGAAAAAAAATTCAGAGATTGCTCTTCAACGCCAGAGAAAATTTTCATCCAATAAACCAAGGCCAAAAAAACCGCACCAATTAGTCAACTGCAAAGAACCACATGAAAATTCAGCAAAAACAAGCCAATCCAATCAACACCCACGAGAAAATTGTCAAGGGTTCCTCAAGAACGATAGTCCCGCTATCAAGAGAGAAAAAACCGTTTTTTATGGTTCTACTGGCTATCGAAGGTACAGTCGACAATTTTTTTTACCTTTTAGTTTTAAGGTTTTGTCTTGACTAATTCATATCCGCTTAAGTCTCACGCTTAATTTTGATGGATAAATCTCCCAACAAAATTTTCTACATACATAATGACTCAAATTCAAACTTGAGACTTACCTAAACAATATCATAAATTTATTTTTTGACTAAAGATTTTATTATTTTAATCACTTCCTTGAATATATTAGTTGTTTTACCATGTAAAAGTTACACAACATTATAGCGATTATCCTTCCATATTCTGATAAGTTTCATGACACAAGACCTCCTCTAATTTCTCATCATTTGCTACAACGATTCGAAATTTTATTATAATAAATGTATTTATGAGATTATAGTTAAAATATAAATATGAATGTTTTAATATATTTTAATTTACACAAGCAACGATATAGTCAAGAATACTAATTTTTCATATTTTAGTTTAAAGTCCACAAGACGGTAGAGGACAAAATTTTATTGTTGAAAAGAAAAACTCTTCTCTCTGATCGTCCTGTAATGTAGTTAGATAATTAATCCCGTTTGTTTTGTCCGTCTGAGAAGAAAGCGTTCAAAATTGCTGCTTTACCTTTTTCTTTGATGAACGATGATTAGTTTTTGTCTGTTTCTGTTAGTAGAAATTTTGCTTAAAGCACAACAATGGAAGCTAGTTTAAACAAGCCAGACAGACTGAAACGTAAGAGAGCCAGCTTTGGTTAACAGACACTGAGAGAAGTATTTGATTATGATTATTTATGGATGATGATATCAATGAACACGAGCAGCATGTGAAATCGACAGCAATTCAAACAATGTCCATCACGTACGTATCGGAATCAGCAATGATTACCCGTAATACTGAAGTTGAAATTTGTGCTAATAAATACAAGACAAGTACTGCGCTAGCGAGATTCCATAATCCAACGGCTCTTGGAAAACGAAGAGCGGAGCAGAGGCGACCGTTCGAGTTTATGATGCAACTCCCGAATCGAAACAGATTAGTCACAGTGCCTAAGCCGTCACTGTGAGGGAAGATGTCGACAACACAGTATCAATAACGAAAGTTCGCCGACATTTCCTCCAACCTTTTTTTTCGTAAAGTCCAATTCGCCCCCTTTTCACCTTGCCCTCTTCTTTTTTTTTCACCTTTTCCCTTGAAATTAAAAAAAAAGGAAGACAGAGAAATTTGATTCCTTTTTTTTGTGTGGATAAAATCGAATCACCTTTGAAGAGAAGAGAGGGAAGAAGAGAAAAGAGAAGTTTGTTGTGTTAGTTTATCGGAAACCAAACAGGCGGAGTTTGAAAAATGCAAATGAAGTATATGGCGAGAGAAAAGAGAAGTCTAGACTCGAGTTCTGGTGATGAAGGGGCGCCTGATAGGAAACGACCTGCTCTTGCCAGGTCTTTCTCTCTCTTCCCTTTCTTACAACTCTCAAATCAAAGAAGGTTTTGTTGATGTTGTCTTATTCGTTTTGATGCAAGGAAACAATTTTAATTGAATTATGAGTAAACTGAATCTGAAAAAAACCTCGGCATTAAATGCTGCAAGAAGCTGTAGGAATGGCCAAATTTTATGGAGAAAAATGTTTTTTCTTCTTCTTTTTGATTATTCCGGTTTAAATATTGAATAAAAAAATTTGAGAAGTTGGAGGTGGTTATATATGTGGTTATATATGAAAAAAAGCACGGAGGCCATAGTTGCTATGTTTTGTGTAGGTGCATTGTTGTGCGCCAAATCAAAACTGGAGCATGGGTGTTGATGCAGTTGCAGTGTTTGACTGACACAACTGAAAAAAAGAAAAGAAACATCTCTTTCTTACCTTGACTATTAACTTTTTTTTAATATATGAAAAGAAACAGCTTTACTGGTATTGCCTATTGAGGACTCTATATCTGATGTATAGTTGTCTAAATGGTATTTGGTTCATCTTTGTGTAAAACTTCTCCTAGTTTGTTTTTGGTGGGGAAATGCTTAAAGAAGTTTTGTATACATAAAACTTTGACATTGATGCAATGTGATTGTTGAAGCACTGAAGGTAGATAGTCTGCAGAAGCTTTGCTCATCACTGGAGCCTATTCTTCGAAGAGTTGTAAGATTCTGGATTTTATAACTGTTTTGATATTCTTATTCGGTTTATTTTTTTGGATAATCAAATTTGTATATCATCCAAAGAAAGCAGCAAGCTGCTACAAAGTACAGAAAACCATCTAGAATAGACCCCAATCAATTCTTAAATGTCTATTAACACTATCTAGCCTATTCATGTAATGTCTATGTAACTTGATTCTAACAACCTCTTTAATGGTATTTACAATAGTATCTATCGAACGCATCACTCCTCTAAAAACATCTGCGATTGCGCTCCTCCCAAATGAAGTAAACAAAACCAGTCCATGAAAGTTTAAGAATGTGCACTAACAGGGATTTGCCTTTCAGATTCCTGACCAACCAGTCAAGCATATGATCCCAACTAGGCCACTGAATTTGCAGCCCACAGAGCTACAGTATAGCGTTCCAAACCCCCTAGAAAAAAGACAGTCCATGAATAAATGATTCCTCGATTCCAGATCAGTGCCACAAAGTCCACAGCTTGCATCAGTCACCATAGCAAACCTACAAAGTCTCTCCCTGGTAGGTAACCTATCAAGGATGGCCATCAACGCAATCAAAGAAAACTTAGGGATGTGAGTAGGAAACCAAACAACTTTATGCCAAGCAACTTTGCTCTTCCTGCTCCGAATTCTATTCCAAATCCAACTCCCCCTAATTTGTGACTAGCTACCTAAAGCAGTAAATAAACCTCTGGCTTCCTCTCGCAGATTAATCAACTTTCTAAGAATCCAGCTAAAGTGGGATTTGTTTTCAACATTCCAGTAATCATCAAGTTTAAAGCAATATGCCTTAATCCAGGCAACCCATAATGATCCCTCATCGGCCAAAATATTTTTAACAAGCATGAAACAGCAGGTTTTATTCCAACCAATCAAACTTTTTAGCCCTAAGCCACCTTCAGATTTGATAGAACAAATCTGGCACCAACTGACTCTTGCACCACGAACATGGGAGTCATTACCCTTCCAAAAGTACCTCATGCACATCCTCTCGATGTCCTATATCACACCCTTAGGCAGAACCAACTGCCTACTCCAGTAATTAAAGATACTAAAAAGGACAGCTTTAATAAGTTGGAGTCTCCCCCCAAAGCTCAATTTCGTGCTCGACCACATCCTCAATTTATCCTTAATTTTCTCAAGCAAAGCAGTGCAGTCCTTCCTTGAGATCTTACAAGTCACTAGAGGAACTCCCAAATACCTGACAGGAAGATTACAAGATCTAAACCCTGTGACTGCTTGAATCTGCTCTAAATCACCTCTATTAATCCCACATACAAAGAGTTCAGTTTTCAGGGCATTTAATTTGAGCCCAGACAGATGATAGAATTTGTCTAAGATGTTTTTAACTCCTAACACTGATTCCATAGACCCATGGAAAAATAGCAGCAGATCATTAGCAAAATAGAGATGTGTGAGAGAAATTCTCTTACATTTTGGATGGAATCTGAAAATTCCATTCCTAGCAGCAACATCAAGCAATCTGGAGAGAACATTCATAACAATTACAAATAGGTAAGGGGACAATGGGTCCCCTGTCTAACACCTCTAATACCCCTAAAATACCCCACAAGACTACCATTCAGAGCAATTGAGTACCTAGGGGTAGTCACACAAGTCTCAATCCATCCATAGAATCTTGTAGGAAACCCCATAACTCTAAAAACATTCAATAAGAACTTCCAGCTAATAGAGTCGAATGCTTTCTGCAAATCAATCTTTATAGCACATCTAGGAGAAAGATTTCTTCTAGAATAGCCCTTAACTATTTCTTGGGCTAAAAGAGTATTGTCAGTGATGCTTCTACCCTTGAAAAATGCAGATTGGCTAGTAGAGATCATTTCAGGGAAGAACTGAGCAATTATAGTGACCAAAATCCTAGTAATAGTTTTATATACCACATAGCAACAAGAGATGGGTCTAAATTCCCTGGCCATACAAGCATTCAAGGATTTTGGCACTAAAACTAATGTAGTGGCATTAAAGGCAGGTAAAAGATAA